AGTTAATAAATTAATAATAATATAAGAAACAGAAACCCCTTTTGACATTTATTTAGTGTCGGCACCGGCGGTCTGTCCAAAAGGATAGGGATACGAAGGGAGAGTGGTATATATGTGGCGACACGTTTGCGTCAACTCAACCAACTCCCCCATGCGTTGAATTTCTTTTATTTTATTTATTTTTTATATTAATTGTATTTAATGGTTTGTTGACCATTTTAAAGCCTATCTGTGAAATCCCTTCCTTTTGGGGGGGCCGAAAATTTGGAAATAAAATTTGATTTATTTTTAAAATATATTATCTTTGAAATAAGCTCCAAACTCGCGGAAAATCAGAGAAACGTGACGAGAAATTGGAATTTATAAAGGAGAAAGTGGGAATAAAAGAGATAATATTATTAATAATAATATATTTTTGTTTGTGAGTCAGGTGATATGAATTTAGGATAATGACGCATCTATAGCCAATTAGATTACACGTGTAAAGCGCGTCCAATTAGAAACGAAATAACCACTATGCTTCATATACCTGACTTGCACCCGAACGAACAAATGCCTTTTTTTTTTTTTTTTTTTTGNCAATTAATTTCGGGTACCAAAACACGTAGTCTCTCCGGCGACACGTCCGCCACCGTCTCTGTCGCCAAGTGCTTGAAGGTCGGACTCGTCCCCACCAATGAGGTCGCATGCGGCGAGACCGAGCACCGGCCGGAGCCGCTTTCCGCCGGCGAGAAGAGAATAACGCATGGGCTCGCTAATCCGAGTGGGTCACACAGCGAAACGGCGTCGTTCCGCTTAATTGACAAAATTAGCCTTCTGCACCGTGTAATCTCTGAAATGGAAGGAGGCTTTTTGGTCAGTTTGTTCAACTTGCGGCTGGAGATCAGTAATTTTCAAAATTATATTAACTAATACAAATACTAAAAAAATAAAAAAATAAAAAATAAAAAAGAATTATATATCTAAGTTTAAAAAATATATATATATATATTATTAATTTGAAAAATAAAGTTGACTGAATTACACAAACATCAAAAACACATAAATGAATTTTAATAATACACAAACGATTTTTTAATCTATTATTGACAGCACGTGACACTAACACATAAATGAATTTTAATAATACACAAACGATTTTTTAATCTATTATTGACAGCACGTGACACTATTCAAACATTTTTTGACAGGCATTTATGAAGCAAGAAACACGTGGTATATTACTTGTCCTACACTTCTTCCATTGAATTTTAAATTATATAAATTCTGTAAATTGTATTAATCAAAATTACCCACAAAATAATCACATCTAATAAAATTTATATTTAATAGCTTAATCGATAATTTTGCTACCCCATTTCAATTCACGTCATAATTATTAACCTACATAATTTTAAAAGACCAATTTCGTAATTTGATAAGTTAATAAATTAATAATAATATAAGAAACAGAAACCCCTTTTGACATTTATTTAGTGTCGGCACCGGCGGTCTGTCCAAAAGGATAGGGATACGAAGGGAGAGTGGTATATATGTGGCGACACGTTTGCGTCAACTCAACCAACTCCCCCATGCGTTGAATTTCTTTTATTTTATTTATTTTTTATATTAATTGTATTTAATGGTTTGTTGACCATTTTAAAGCCTATCTGTGAAATCCCTTCCTTTTGGGGGGGCCGAAAATTTGGAAATAAAATTTGATTTATTTTTAAAATATATTATCTTTGAAATAAGCTCCAAACTCGCGGAAAATCAGAGAAACGTGACGAGAAATTGGAATTTATAAAGGAGAAAGTGGGAATAAAAGAGATAATATTATTAATAATAATATATTTTTGTTTGTGAGTCAGGTGATATGAATTTAGGATAATGACGCATCTATAGCCAATTAGATTACACGTGTAAAGCGCGTCCAATTAGAAACGAAATAACCACTATGCTTCATATACCTGACTTGCACCCGAACGAACAAATGCCTTTTTTTTTTTTTTTTTTGGCTTATCCTTATCTTAATCTTCAAGCCTATAATTTATATTATTATTTTAAAAAAAATTAAATGTTTAAATTTTAGGATAAAAAAGAATAAAGGAATATTTGAAACGAGATAAATATTTTTTTCTTTTAAAAAAAATATTATTTTTGGATAATCACGTCGTGTGGATCAAATTTATGACTACCTTTGATTGTATTAAGTAAAAATATAAATATTTGGATTATGAAAAAGTTAATTATTTATTTAATTTGAAATTAGATAAAATATCGATTTTGGGGAGATTAGATCCACCGGCTGCCGCGTACGTGATTTTGATTGTCGGTGAAAAGTGAAAAAAAATCAAAATCTCGCGTTTTAATCCAATTGATTATGATAATTATGAAAATAAATAAAACGCGGCGTCCGGTTGCCGGTGAAGGTGCGGGACGGCTATATATATATAAAGGAAGGGAACGGGAAACTCCAAGTTCATTGCGTGCTCCTGCCTATTGGCTTCTGCCACTCTCCAATTAAAATTCGTTTTTGATTCTGTTAATGGCGTCCACGAAAACCCTAGCGCGCCGCCTCTTCAACGCCTCCAATCGGCTATTCTTTAACACTTCCGCCAATAAACTCCCACTCGATCCCGGAGATCAAGGAATATTCCGGCGATTCCTTCATCAGAGGCCCAATTTTCCCCCTCCCTCCACATTCACCCGATCGCTTCCCTCATTGCCGATTGGATTCGGGAATGCGATGGAGCAGCTTGTTTCTCGCGATAGGATTCTTCTAGATGGATTGAAGCCGCCGGCGCCGGCGCCGGGTGAATTGGATGGACTCACGGTGGAGGAGACGAGGAAGTTGGTGAGATTGGCGGAGGTGGTTAGAATGAAGAGGAAATTGAAGGAGATTCCGACGGGCCGGATTACGTATCGGGAATTTGTTCGAATTTGTGGCGAAGATAATTCAGATGGAGATGAAGATTATGGCGTTGAATTGGCCAAGAGGCTTGATGAGTCCGGTGCCGTTATCATACTCGGAAACGTGGTCTTTCTCCATCCCGAACAGGTATGTCAAAAATACTCTTACCGTTAGTTTAAAAAAAGAAACTTTGACAAACCCCTTTTGACTTTTTTGTTTCCAGATAGCAAAATCAATCGGTTGCTTGATTCCCACGCTAGGAATGAACAGCGAAGACCCAATAAGTAAGAAGGAGCTAGAAGAATTGGAGAAAGAGAAGGCGATGATCGACGGGAAAGCCGGGCGCCAAGTCCGCCGCGAGCTGCGGTGGGGGCTAGGGTTTCTGGTGGCTCAAACGGCAGCGCTGATGAGGCTGACATTTTGGGAACTGAGTTGGGACGTGATGGAACCCATATGCTACTTCATAACGTCCACATATTTCATGGGTGGGTACGCCTTCTTTTTGACCACTTCCAAAGAGCCTTCTTTTGAAGGGCTCTACCAAAGCCGCTTCGTCGCCAAGCAGAAGAATCTGATGAAGCTCCACAATTTTGATGTCCATAAATACAATCGCCTCCGTAGTGATTCAAATCCTCAAATTGCATAAAGGGTATACAGAAGATGAGCATTTTTGTCACTTTTCACATGAGTTCCACCCATTCTTAAATGTAAAAATACATACTTTTAAGTCTTAATCCTCTCTAATCTTACTATATATATATATATATATATATATATATATATATATATATATATATATATATATATTTAGTAGAAAAGTATTGTGATCGAAGTATTTTAGAACAAGTGTTTTCTAAGTGTTTCACCTTGTTCCGGTAATTCGATTGATAGTCAAAACATGTCGTAATGATGCGATTAACAATGATGTATCGTAAGGATAGTGTTTGGCTAGAGGCTAACAAATAATAAGAGGCCAAATTTGGCCATAACTCAACTAGTAAAGTATATGTTGTTGATAAAAATATAGAATCCTACCTTTTCCGATAAGTTCCATTCCAATGTATGCAATCTAGAACATCGATCATCGCCTAAAGTAACGAAGGTTAATAATAGGTTGATAGGATAAATATATATATATATATATATATATTTTTAAGTAACTCAAACAACACAATTCAACTATATAAAATAAAAATATTTCTTAAGGTTGGATGTGTTGGATGATGAAAGTCCCACTGCTAGTTTAGGGAATGATCATGGGATTATAATCAAGAGATACTCTCTCCTGTGAGGCCTTCTAAGGAAGCCCAAATCAAAATCATGAGAGCTTATGCTCAAAGTGGACAATATCATACCATTGTGGAGAGTTGTGTTCGTCTAATATTGTATCAAAGCCGTCGTTGTCGAACAAAGGACTCCAAAAGAAAAGAAATTAAGCCTTCTCAAAGGCACAGTAAAAAATGACTAATATTCTCTCCATTGGTGCTAGGCTTTTGGGAAAGCCTAAAGCAGAACTATGAGAGTAAAGACATGAGAGTTAGTGGACAATATCGTACCATCGTGGAGAGTCGTGTTCGTCCAACACTCTTAATAATTAACTTTTATGATAAATACAAAATTATGAAAAATGAATTAAAAAAAACAATTTAATAGGTACACAAAAGTGGTCATTCAACTTACCTCCTCATCGTCACCCATGACATATTTTTATTCAAATAACTTTTAATTTCTTTTGATTTTTACTTTTTTAAAAGATGAAATATTTTGTTATTTCCATTTAAATTGTTTTTGACTTTTTTCCCTACCTAACACCATTTGTTTTAATAGATTTGGGGATTTTATTTTTAAGGAAACCTCCACTATTAAATATTTAAATTAATAATATGTATTAAAATTATAAACATATTAAATGCTTTGATAATTCATGCATTAAAATTTGTTTAATATTCAAATTCTAAATGAAAGGGAAGAAATCTTTTGTTATGGAAAAAGGATTTTACTGTGATGAATTATAAATATTAATTATATTTATTACCTAATTACCATTCAAAATTCTACTTGCTTTTTTTTAATCCTATGTTAATATTACCTCTTCACAAAACCAAAATTCCACCAAAATCAAGATTATTGAGTAAATTATTTCCTCACACTCTCCAATACATGAATTTCAATTTCAATTTCAGTTTCAATTTCAATTTCAATTTCAATTTCACTACCTTCCCATCTGATTCCACCGATTCCTTTTCAAAATTCGAAACGGAAACCGATCAATGATTCTTCTCTTTCAATTGAATCTCTAAATTCCCCGAAGAACAGGGGTGGTGTTTGATGATCTTCACTGATTCCTGCGACTTACCGAGATGAATTTTGAGATAGAAGTTCAAGAAAAGCAGCAAAATGGCGCCGTTGAGCACAGAATTGAAAACCCAAGCCCCAATTCCGTTGCACCCACCTTTCATGAAGTGCAGCATCAACACCCCCACATGGCAGGCTAAATTGCAACCCAACAGAACGAATTGACAGTTTACCACGAAAGGGAAACACGCCCTTCGTAATCCAATGGCCGTCCAGAATCTATACCCGTAAACCACCGCGTACACGAGCGAGGTCGAGAGGATAGCCAAAACCTGAAACGACTGAGAAAATTCGAGCCAGAGAAACGACATAAACGTCGAAATCGAGTGGTTGAAGAGCTGGAAGAAGGACAGTCTCCGATGGCCAAAAATGGTGAAAATTGTACGGAACATATGGAAGAATCGGGATAAGTAGTAGATGTACGACCAGAAGAACACCCGCCCAGACGGCCGAGTGCCTAAGGGGAAACAGAGGAGCCACTGGAAGGGGGTTTTCGATCGCCGCCAGAACCATCGGGTGTCGCGGATCTCGGCGACGGAGGAGAGGAGGATGCCGGCGGAGATGAGGGTGGAGATTAGGGCCATGGAGAGGCAATGAATGGCTGGAATGGGGCCGAGCGGGACAGTGCGGTCGGGGCTAAGGAGGAGGCTGAGGAAGAGGTGGACGACGATGGCGAAGGCGAGGTAAAAGGCTATGGAAGAGAAAAGGAACGACCAAGTGGAACCCCATGAATGAGTGTGGCTCCATCGGAATCCGACGATGGAGGGGTGCTCCGACAGCCAGTAGACCAAGTCGTGGATCAACATGATACCGGCCTGAATCGCCGTCGACGTTGAGAGGAAACGATCAGACGGCGGAGGGCGGGAATTACGTCCAAGTCATGGAAAAGCCATAGAATGGCGAAATCGGAGCAAAATTGGAGAAGGGGGAACGGTAATTTGTGGACGATGTAGAAAATTTGGGCTGTTTTTTAGGGGAAATAGACTTTTTTTTTTTTTTTTTTTTTA